GTGCTGGTTGCTGAGTCTCCGCTGTTTGGCACTCTTTTTCAGGCTGTTCCGGGGCTACCTGGTACATGACTTTTTGCTGACTTTTTTGTTTGTTTCTGAATTTTTCCCCATAGGAATGCATTAATTAAATTTCAATGCATTCCTATGGGAAACGCGCCTCGCAAGACGAAAAATATCACCAAAAATCTCTCAAGACCCTTTCATCTTGCGAGGTTTTTGTCCTGCAAGGCATTTGTCTTGTGAGGCACCACTGTAATGAACACTTCGATGACCAAACTGAGAACCACAATTAGTTGGCTTGCTAGAATAGCCTGAGATTTGTTGAGAAGTCTTGTTGGACAAGGGATGGTGACAGTAAATAACCATGAGTGGCTGAATGTACAGTGGTGCCTCGCAAGATGAAATTAATCCGTTCTACGGTTAATGCCGTCTAGCTAAAATTTGGTCTTGCGAGGCATGGTTTCGCATAGGAATGCGTTGAAATTTAATTGATGTGTTCCTATGGGAGAAAAAGTCCAAAAAAATTTAAAATGAAGTCATTTACCAGGTACTGTAGACTGAGCCTGGTTCCTCACAGTGCCTTGGTAGCCCCAGAACAGCTGGAAAAAGAGCGCCAAACAGCTGAGAGCCGGCAGGCAGCCGGTAGCCATTTTGTGCTCTTCTCCGCTCCCGCCCCCCGCCTCACACCTGATCGGCGCAAGGTGTCAGAGGCTTCTGCTGGCTTTCCCAGCAGGTAAACAGGCAGTGGAAATGCACTGGGGAAGCCTCTGAAAGCGGCGCTTTGCCGTGGGGGTGGGTGAGTGGGTGGGGTGGATGAATGGGTGGCAGGGGGCAGGCCGCCACTTTCAGAAGCCTCCCGGGTGCTTTTCCACTGCTGAACAAGCCCTGGGAGGCTTCTGAAAGTGGTGCTTTGCCATGGGGGGGCGCGGGGGTGGCAGGCCTGCCCCTGCTACCCACCCCCACGGCAAAGCACCGCTTTCAGAGGCTTCCCCGGTGCATTTCCACTGCCATTTTGCCTGCTGGGAAAGCCCAGAGAAGCCTCTGACACCCTGCGCTGATCAGCTGTGAGGCGAGGAGGGGGGCAGGAGTAGAGAAGAGCACACAAACACCATCCCCCGCAGCAAGCACCACTTTCAGAAGCCTCCCGGGGCTTCGTCTTGTGAAGCAGGGCCATAGAAACAATCGTCTTGCAAGGCACCAAAACCCTTGCCGGACCCATTCGTCTAGCGAGTTTTTCATCCGGCGAGGCAATCATCTTGCAAACCACCACTGTACTTCACATGGATTTCAAGATAGCTGTAGAACTGTGAAGGTAGTGCTGTGCTTATGGTTGCAAGCAATTTGTGATCTCTTAGTAATTTCAGAGCCCAGCATTGTTCTTGGTTTTCAGTTTCTTGAAACTTATTTCCTAAAATTCATTTTGAAGATAACCATGTAAGAGCAGATTTTGAGCAAATGTAGTGAAAATCATTCTTGATTTTTAGATGTGTTCTACATCATACCTTGATGTACTTTATTGAGAAAGGTGGCTCCTGCTTACTTTGGTTACAGCAGTTGTCTCCTTGGAAGAGAGGACTTCCCAAATCTCTTGCAATGGTTGAATGTCCTTTACTGCTCCCATAATTGATTGTATTCAGACTTCAAGAATATCCTGCTTTGTCCGAGTCCTCCTTACGTGGAGTGAAATTATACTCTTTTTTTTTCTTAGCACCAGAATCTAACAATCTAGATGACTCCTTAGAAAACCCTTGGGACGTATTGCCAGGATTGACATTGAACTCCTCCAGTGGTAAGTGGTGTTAGCAGTTTCAGCAATCTGGTTCAGCAGGTAAAAAAACCCCTCAAGTATACAGTATTAAAAGAAGTGTAGTAGATAGGGAACTAGGACTCAGAAGGTTTGTTCATCCATGGAAACTCACTGGGGTGTGACATTGATAAAACCATTCCTTAAACATCTCACCTACCTTGAAAACCTGGCTGTGCTTACTGTATCTTTTCCAAAAGAAGGACTGAGAGAAGGATGTTAACGCTGCTTCAGAAGGAGCTTGTTCCATTTGTCACTCAATTGGCTGCTCTACACTCAGAGGTTTTCATTCTTTCAGGCCTTCACAGTCAAAATTCAATTTCCTTCCCAAAATTAACAGCCTGCACTCTCTAGAAAGGACCCTGCTACTGCTGCTGGGGAGTAAAATACCAATACTGACTGAGACCCCTCAGCCCACGGTAATAGGAAGACTTCCGTCCTTGCTCATGGACCACCAGTCTTCCTACAGATACTCAGTTAAACTTTCTAGAGCTTCAAAGGACCCATTTCCTTCTTTTTGAGTGTGTGCTTCTACTAGAAACAAGTCTTCATGCTTCAATCTGTCCACCATTTCCTGCATGTAGGGGCAGTCGAGCCAGTCCCAATGAAGAAAATTATAATTTCATCACATCATGCATCCTTTTTTATTTAATTGTATACACCACGGTGCAAAAGTATATAATAGAAGGTGCATCTGGATAGTAAAAACAATAATAATCATTACATTCTCTGTTGACTTAAAAAGCAGCTGCAATAAACATTTTGACTAAGAGTCTATTAATGTATAAAACGTAATATGTAATTACATGGAAGAAAGTTATTTGAACATTATGTATCCTTTGTATACACACAATACGTAAGGACTCTGTATCCTTCTCTCCTTCAGTGTGAACAGTTATTTACCAAGGCCCCTTCTTCTTAAACATTTCAAATATTTCTTTTGCTTGAATATTTGTTCAGTGAGGAACATGGGGAAGAGAAATACAGTAAGGGAGCAGTATTGCTAAAGCCTTTGATATTGTCCATTTTCATGTATCTATATCTCAGAGCCAGAAAAGGATTAAAATCATGATCAGATTTCCAAGGCTTGAAGAGGCAAATCTCAAACTTTTAATGCAAATGTGATGTGTTTTAGATGGAGCAGCAATGTTGGAGGAAGAAGTATTTCATCTTTTATGACATCAACAAATCCCTCCTCTGAGTGGCAATTAGCCTTGCTGAGAAAAATGCTGACATTCCATCATGTCTGTGTTTCTCTCCCATCAAAATATAATTAGCAACAGGAAATCCCATATCTATTCTGTCAACATTCCTTGCTGTTTGATTCAAGTAAGATATTGGTAAAAAAAAAAGAGACTGATTTATAGCTGGCCTTCTGTCAAGTAACGTTTATTTGGAACCAGAGTGCCATCTTCCTTGTCAGCATGTTTTATGAGTCATGAAACAACCTTCCAGAACATGATGCCATACTTGTTTCTCCCTTGAAGTACCAGGGTTCTTGTGTAGATTTGACTTTGCTGCTAAAGGACCTTATTTGTGCACTAAGGTCCAGATGGCCTCCTTTTGATAGTGCTCTGTGCTTTGCACTCTTGTGTACTTTAGAAACTGTTATTTCTGTATATTTGTTTACTTATCTTTTTGTGCTTTGGCAGACAGTTCTGACACACTACCTGGTCTTCCTCCAACACAGCAGCTGCTCTTAGCTAGTACTGCTGAGAAAAAAGGTTCAAGCTCCAGCAGCTGTACCCCAGAGTTCCTTGAGCCTTGTCCTCATACATCTCACTGTAATTCTGAGCAGATAGAGCCAGTAGTGACAGTGTCTCCAGCCTGGCTTCCTTCTCGCAATGTGACAACTCTCAAAGAATCTGTCAGCCAGGAATTCAGAGCTCAGCAGATACACATAACACACAACAGCATGGCAGATACTGATGAAAGCGTTCCCTACAATCAACCACTGAGAAATTCACCTTTCCCCACTACACTGGCTCTCTCTTCTGCTCATCCCCCTAGTAAAAATGATGTCTCCCTTGAGCTTTTGTGTGAAAATACAGAAGAAAATCATACAGACAGTTTACAGATGATGGAGAGAAGAGCTTGGGATGAAATTATGGAGACAGACAGGAGAGGTGTAGCAGTGAAAAGGAAACAGATGATGGCAGATGATGGTGATAAACCTGAGACTTTCTTCATTTCAACCTGCACTAGGCAGAAAGCTTTAGAACTGGCTTCTGCCACAGTTTCTCCACAATCCAACAAGTTAGATAAGCTGCCTGCATGGAAGCCTCCTTTAACATTTACAAGTACACCCAAGAAGAGCCGGACTGAGGAGATCCATGTCCAGCAGCATCCAGTCCCCACCCATTTGAGACGTTCAGACAGACTTCTAAGGAAAGGAAGGAAGCAGGGAGGAGCAGAAGGTGCAACTAGAAATGTGGAACAACAATTTGGAATTCAGCAGCAGGTAAATCTTTGATCTCATTAAGGGATAGTATGGTAAAAATAAGTAATTTTGGTGTGGGTAGAATTCTGATTGTGAGAATAGAATTCTGTCATTTGCTTGGGAAAGCAGACTATTTTTTGATACATCTACCCATTTTTGCATTTTTTTTGTTAACAGGCAGATTTATGAGTGACCTTGTGTTCATCCAGTGTAACATACAGTGGTGCCTTGCTTAACAATTACCTTTATGACCATCGTAAAATGAATCCGCTTAACGATGAAGTTTTTGCAATCGCAGAATGATGCTCCTATGGGAAAAATTTGCTTGACGATGATCGGTTCCCTGCTTTGGGAACAGATTTTTTTGCTAGACGACGATTCTAAAACAGCTGCTCGGCGGCTCTAAAAATGGCCGCCCACTGTGCAAAATGGCTCCCCGCTGTTTTTAACATGGATTCCTCGCTTTACAGGCACCGGAAAATGGCTGCCCTATGGAGGATCTTCGCAAAACGAGCAGATATTTCGCCCATTGGAACGCATTGAAGGGTTTTCAGTGCATTTCAATGGGTTTTTAAAATTCGCTTGACAACGATTTCGCTTAACAGCAATTTGAATGGAATGGATTATCGTCGTCTAGTGAGGCACCACTGTATTTGATTTTTTGCTTCAACAAGCAATTCCATTAAAAGAGAGTTGATCCATTAGATTGCATTCTCCGTATCTTACCTCCATGTTTTGGACAACAAATCCTGTCATTCTTCACTACTGGTTATAGTAGTTATAGTGTAACCAGTAGACATGGGCTATTCATATTCATATCCCTGGAAATACGAATACAAATATTGGCACCAGAAATGCCATGGAGGCCAATTACCTTCCTCAGAGTGACCTGTGGTGCCGCTGTTCATATTCATATCCATATCCCCAGAGATACGAATCGCCCATGTCTAGTAACAAGAAGTAAAGGACCATATTCCCTACCCATGCTGTAAAGCCTTACAAGCTGGCAATTCTGACAAAATGATAGTGTATCTCTCTTTCTTCTAGGAGTGTGTGAGAGGAGTGTGTTTTAATCACACATACAAGTCATCAACACCTGAACTCTGTGCCCAAATATGTTCTACAAGGTTAGTGCCATGTCTTGGAGCCAATCTAAACTGTGATCACTTGATGCAGGGAAGGTATATACAAACTAACAATGTCCAAAAAGGCCATTTTGTCTAAAATCCAACCAAACTGTGGCAAACTGCTTCTGGACTGGTGAGTAGTAAGTTGGTATGGGTAGGAACTGCAGAGAGGTCTGAAGGCCTATTTTTCTGCATATGAGACATAGTGGACAGAAATGAAATGTTTATCCCCAACTCCTTGTTCCCATTTTATATGATATCCTGTGTTTGATTTGTAGGATATCAAGAGCATTACTGGAATGGGCTTGCTGGGTTCTCAACAATATGCAGGACTAAGCATCTTTACTGAAGTGCCTTCATGATCTCAGGTGTGATTTAGGTTTATTATGTGTCAATGTTATCTTCATTATCCATTAAAATGAACCTTTGACTACAAAAAACTGCTTGTTTAATGGCACACAAGTTTGTTTTTCTTTTAAATCTTAAATCTTATTAAAGAACTGGGTGTCTGACCCAGAGGTTGCTGTGTTTGAGCACAAAGGCATGTGGCAGCTGCTTTTTAAGGAGATGGCAAACATGGTACATAGCCCTCTAGCACAAGCAGTTTCTCAACCAATAGCAAAAAGTAAACTGTCCATGTACTTAAATCTAGAGGTGTAGAGATCTGTGGATTCTAGCCATCCGGCCTGTGAAATTCGGGAAGTAAAATCCAACAACATAGATTTGCACACCTGTACTTAATTCTGTGTCATAAAAACCAGTTTTTTAAAGCAGGCAGAAACACCTGTATAATATTTTCTATTCATTTAGCTGCAGTTTTCAAACAGAATAAGTAGTAGTGCTGGAATTCTGATGTGTGGAGCCATTTGTCTTACACAAACTCAGCAGTGATGTGCAAAATCACAGATTAAGTGTATAAGCTGCCATAGTTCAATAGGTAGGAACGCTTGGGTACAGAGCCGAAGTTTAGGAGTTCGAATTCACTCCATGTCTCTCAGGTCAGTGGCCAACCAAGATTTTCTGAAGCATGTGTTGCCAGTGGGGTTAAGTGTCCTGTTATCGGTCTGTCTGAGTATTCTGGATCTGTCTTCAGCAAGCTGCACAGTCCCAGAGGGCACTGTGAGGAACCGGGCTCAGTCACCAGAAGGAGTGCCATTGGAAAAACACTTATGCAAACTTTAAACATGGAAAACTGCAGGCTTTCATGGCGGGGATCTGATGGTTGTTGTGGGTTTTTCAGGCTCCTTGGCCATGTTCTGAAGGTTGTTCTTCCTGACGTTTTGCCAGGCTCTGTGGCCGGCATCTTCAGAGGACTGGAGTAGGAACTCTGTCCATGCTCTGTTGCTGTTTGTTGGATAGTTGAGTATTTATAGCTGTGGGAACAGCTTTTGTCTTGTTCAGGAGATAGGGTGATGATGGTGATTATTTTGTTTTTGTTGTGGATGTATTGTTGTGATAAGAGGGAGAGATTACTGTATCTGTCACTGTGATTGATGGGTGTCTTTAGCTGGTCTTTTTTGTGCAATGATCCAGGGATTGCACAAAATCCAGAGATTTTGTGCAATCTCCCTCTTATCACAACAATACATCCACAACAAAAGCTTGCCGATCACCATCATCACCCTATTTCCTGAACAGGACAAAAGCTGTTCCCACAGCTATAAATGCTCAAATATCCAACAAACAGCAACAGAGTTCCTACTACAGTCCTCTGAAGATGCCGGCCACAGAGATTGGCAAAACGTCAGGAAGAAAAACCTTCAGAACATGGCCAAAGAGCCCAAAAAACCCACAACAACCATTTTTTACCTTTTTAATGGCAGAAAACAATCATTTTGATGCCTTAGAGGGCATAAAAGTGTCACAATACTAGGGAACTCAATAATACAATCTCATGCCATCAGTTGGATAGCTTTAATTCTTTTGCTCATATCCCTTTTGCATTTAATTACAAAATATTCTGTATAGCTTACATGCTTGATTAAATGTTTTGGATACTTAAAACAAATTAGAAAACAACTACATAGAAAATCTTTGTGCCCCTTTTCCCATAGTTGAACACAGTAACTGAAACGTGGTTCAAAAGATGAAAGAAGAAAAAATTCTGTGACTCTTTGTTTTAGAAAATAATATTATTGTAAAGAGCATCTAGTTGATGCTAGAATATTCCATAAATATACATGCATTAATTACTTGGTAATGGATGGCAGATACCCAAGAACAATACATGGATCTAGATTCCCTCCGGTTCTGAATGTCTACAATATTTTGAATTTGGCAGTTGTGTTCTTACGCCAGTTTGTGTAGAAACAGATTATGTGGAGTTTACCTTATTGGTAGTACACAAGGTTGTGGTGAGGTAACCCTGTAACCTACCATTCAGGCTGCAGCTGCATTTCCTATCNGAGTGGCCATGAACACCACAGCATTCTGCAATGCTCCTGGTTCCCTGAAGTAACTCCAGCTTATTGAGACCACTTTTATTATTCGTTACGTCCAAAGCACTTGGGTGTAGGAAGCAGTCATCTTGTATGATGACTGCATATTTGTAGTGGGCACACACAGCAAAACTACATTTAGTGGCATTTGTCAGTTGCAGATTTTCTGCCTTTGAAATGTGGGTTCACATTTGTACACACAAGTGCTTTGCATGTAGAAAATTTTAATATTTTAAGTGACCTGTATTGCGAAATTGATTGATCACTTACTGCCTCCTTGAAACAAATACCGTAGATTAGGGTAAACTGTTCCTTCAAAGTGGCATTGAAAATTCCCAAGCTTAGCATGACGCCTACACTTTACACCTTTCCAAATTACATTAGTATTGTTTTGTTTTCTCCCATTCACCTTGTTAACAGCAAGGCACTGCTGGATGTTATAGATAATAAGGAAGGAAAGAGAACAGTCCTAATACCACAATAAATGAGACAGGAAGAGTTCTACTAATTTGAATTATTCTCATTTAATTGTGGAATGGAGGGGCTGAATCTTCAATATTTGTTTTAGCTTGCTAAAAGCTGCCAACACATACTCCTTTCCTACAGGAGTAAGATTGTCAATGTGAGACAGACCTTGACTTTGTTTCTTAGCTGCATTATTGTGTTTTGCTTTTTTCAACACTTACTGCAATCCTATGAATCTGTGACTTCCAAAAGGTCTTGTGATTCACAGCCCTGCATTCCTCAAAAGTACAAAGCAAGGCCAGCAAGTTTATTGTATGTAAAATGCCCCACCTTATGCTGGCATATTTCAGTTTCTGGCATTAATATTTTCATATCCGCCTCAACTCCCCACTGCACAACTATAGCTAGCAGTGGTTGGTTTCCTTGTATAGCCAGCATCTAGCTTTTCTCACCTGAACTATTAGTACACTGGACTCTCACATATGAGTCTACAAGAGTGAAAGGGGGACAACCCAGAATATGTTCAGGACTTTAAATGTTACCATTCTGTACAGGACATACCATTTTCACCAAACAAGGAGCTATGCTGGGGGCCTGGCGTGTGTTTGGCCATCTGCTGAATTTTGTTTTACTTGACAGCTAGGCCTTGCTGTTTTAAATAAGAAGCTTTCATTCTACACCTTGTTTGAGCTGCCATCATGCCGAAGCACCAACTACTGATTCAGTGGTTGTGTCTTGGTGATAACTTGGAGAGCAACACAGCAGTTCTTTGGTCTAGAGCTGTATGTTGTGTTTTCTCTAGAGTTTGTTCCAAAGTATGTTATGATTTTTCTCCCATTTCTGGTCTTAGCTTTGACTCGGGAACTTCCATGTTCCTCCCTTGGGATGGAGTGCCTGAGAGAGAAGACACAAACATCATGTCAGAATACGATTTCCCTGAAAATTAACCTTAGTATGATTTTTCAGGATGTTCATTATATAAGCCCTACCCCAAACTAAGCCCCAGTTAAGTGAAACCCTGCCCTCTACCATTGTGCTGCAACCAGAAGATGACATGACTGTATTTGAATAAATGTAGAGTGTGGTACATGAATAAAAATAAAACATCCCCTGAAAATAAGCCCTAATGCATTTTTTGAGCAAAAATTAATATATGACCCTGTCTTATTTTGGGGAAAACAAGGTAACACTAGTGGCTTGTCTGACCAGTCTAATACAATATAGTAATGATTTAACTTTGGGAACTTTGTAAAGTACTTAACATAGCACCAATATTGCATAAAGGGGGTTTAAACTGATGAGGAAATAGACCACTGACTGAGCCATAAGCAGTAGATGGGTAGGGGCACAACTAGGCAATCAGCCGGAGTTGACAAAAGGCACTAATGGCCATGGCCGATATTTGAGCCCTCTGTAGAGAGTACTGAGTCCAGGAGTATCCCCAAGCTGCAGACCTGATCTTTCAAGTTAATGGAGTGTAGCCCCATTAACCAGGTAAATTCTCCTTTAAGTGCTTTGACAATCTTCATGGTAGGATCTCCATCTTATCTGGATTTAGTTTCAGTTTATTGTCCCTCATCCAGTCACTACACTTGATCTTAGCCAAAAGGTGGAGAAGCGATTGATCCAGTCCAATATTGATGCTTGGCAGCGCTTAAGGAAATGTACAGGATTCCCACCAGATGAACCAAAAAAGAGAGATAGAGCTGTGTGTGTTAATCATCCAAAATTCTCAGTGGCTTCATGTAGATGTTACAGAATTGGGGAGATGAGCAAACCCTTAATAGGATCAGCCATCAAGGAATTAGTGGAGAGCATAGTCATTGATATCAAAGGCCACAGAAAGATCTAGAAAGACCAACAGGGTTACACACCCCATCTGCCTCCTGTAGGAGATAATCTTGCAGGGTGATTAATGTTGTTTCAGTACCATGCTGTGACATAAACCCTGATAGAAATGGATCCTAAGCCGTAGGCGGGGTACAAATAGAATAAATAAATAAATCCAGGCTATCAATTTCTCCCAAATATACCTGTTAATTGTGACACAGTTGTACCAACTTGTATCTCAGTTAGCAACAGTAAGAAAAGTATTAATTTGGGAACAAACCTAGTAAGTTATTACAGAACAGTAATTAAACTTTATGTACAGAGAGGCCAATTGCATCATTTCATTTTTGACACATTCACCTAATCTGTCAGATGATGCAGATGCTTCAGGCTCCAGTGGGAACTTGGGCTTACTCTTCCATTTCAGGATAGGAGATGGCTGCAGACAATGAGGGATCTTTGCATCTGTGAAGAATAAAGATAGGTGAATGAAAACTGGAATGAGGCCTGTCGCAGCTGAGATAGAAAATGAGTTTAGCATTTAGTTACACTGTAGTTACACTGTGTGTAATCATCAAGAACCACAGGATAAAGAACTTCAGGAGATGTTGTGCTCTTGATAGTCCATTAGGAAAGTAGCTCTAAGGCCATTGGGGTGCATAACAGCACTTACAGGCTAAACATAGCTATCCTGACACAGGCCTTGAAAATACCATTACAGTGGTGCCCTGCATAGCGAGGTTAATCCGTTCCGGATTAACCTTCGCTATGGGAAAACATCGTAAAACGGATCAAAACCCCCAATTGCGTTCCAAATGGGCCCAAAACTCACCATTCTCCGATGTTTTCCCTTGTTCTGGTGGCCATCTTGGGTGTACCGGTGGCCATTTTGAGTGTACCGGCGGCCATCTTGGGTGTACCGGTGCCCATTTTTGTGTTCTGGCAGCCATCTTGGGTGTACCAGTGGCCTTTTTTTTCCCGACCGCCATCTTGGGTGTTCCAGTGGCCATTTTTTTGTTCCGGCGGCCATCTTGGGTGTGCCAGCGGCCTTTTTTTTTGTTCCGGCGGCCATCTTGTGTGTACCGGCACCCATTTTTTTGTGTTCCGGCGGCCATTTTGGAGCCGCAGAACAGCTGTTCCCCCATCGTAATGCGAGCGTGCCCTCGCATTAGCGATGGGGAAATCCGCATCGCAATGAGGATTCATCGTTCAACGGTGCAGTCGTTATACGAGGCACCACTGTACAGTCCTTCAGCATGAAAATAATCATTTAATTGTATATATTTTATAGATGCCCACTTCAAATTCTAGCTAAAGACTTCTTAACACTTGAGCAATGTCATTTCTGTTCTAGGAACTGCATTTCAGAGACATAGGGATCAGAAATGCCATTTTATAATTTGGCTGTAAACGTAACTGTATGGCAAAACAAGCAGTTCTGTGTTAGAAGATTACTAAAGATCTGAATCATTCTTACCATATTTTCAGGTTTTCTGGGTAGTGTTATCTGTCTATGTCTTTGTTTAGGAAAATCCAAAGAGTCTTTGTCAGACCAGTATGAGGATACAAGATGCAACTTGCCCAATAATATCTTATTAACGTGATTTTATTCCAGACTTAAACATGAATGTGATAGTTTCTTTGCATGAATATTCTGAGTAGAATGATCTTTTACAAAATAGAACACCTTACCTGTATTTCTGTTCACCCTATATCAGAAAGGAATCTTATCAACACAATTTTAATCTGTCTTCCTCTTGGGTTATACCAATGTTTTCCAACCTTTTTTTAAAGTCACAACCCCCTTTTAAAATAGCCTGCAGTCCACAAAGGTCCGCATAGTCAAAGCTATGGTTTTTCCAGTAGTGATGTATGGAAATGAGAGCTGGACCATAAAGAAGGCTGACCGCCAAAGAATTGATGCTTTTGAATTGTGGTGCTGGAGGGGACTCTTGAGAGTCCCCTGGACTGCAAAGAGAACAAACCTATCCATTTTGAAGAAAATCAACCCTGAGTGCTCACTGGAAGGACCGATCCTGAAGCTGAGGCTCCAATACTTTGGCCATCTCATGAGAAGAGAAGACTCCCTGGAAAAGACCCCGATGTTGGGAAAGTGTGAAGGCAAGAAGAGAAGGGGACAATAGAGGACAAGATGGTTGGACAGTGTCATGGAAGCGAGCAACATGAATTTGACGCAACTCTGGGAGGCAGTGGAAGACAGGAGGGCCTGGCTCTGGTCCATGGGGTCACGGAGAGTCAGACTTAACAACAACAAACCTGCAGCCCAACAACAACAAACCCGCAGCCCCACATTTGCATAAAAGGGTATTTAATGGGATAAAGAAAACACATGAAAATTGATTTTTCAGAGTATAATTCTACCCTAATATAGTAATATTAATGCATAATTATTGGGAGGGGCTGTAAATCTGCATCTACCAGATTAAATTTTAGAAGGGAAAATGTCAATACACTTTGAGTTTAATTTACCTTCTGAGGTATGGAAATGGCCCCCCCTTCCTGTCTCTCCCCCCAAAGCCCCCTCAAGCCCATCCTGCAATCGCAAATGAACACCTTCCACATGGGCTCACCTCCCGCATGGCCTCCCACCCCACACCATTTCTCCTCCCTCACCTTTTTATTACTCATGCCTTCCTCCTCCATGACTTAGGTGAGACACAGAGGCATCTCCCTGCCCAGGTTCCTTCTCCCTTCACTGTGCTGCCATCACTACACCCAGAAGAGTAGGAGACTCAGGGAGAGAGATGCCACTGCCATTGTGACAATAACTTTTCAGTCCTTCTGCTATCTTAGGTGTTAGCTTTCCTTGTGTGCACCATGTGCTTGCCTTATTTCAGGCCTCTTTGAGTCGGGCTAACATCAGTCCTCCAAAGGTGGATGTGGAGGAGCAGAGAAAAACAAGAGTAGCTCTTATAGAAGGGTTGGGAGGGATGTGCATGCATAAAAGCAAAATATAGAAATATTTAAGAACTCTAGATTGCCTGCAATTTAAGTTCAGATTAAAATTGTCTATCTTTGGTCCAAGAGGATTGAAATAAAATAGCAATGTATATATCATACTTACTTACTTACTTACTTACTTACTTACTTACTTACTTACTTACTTACTTACTTACTTATTTATTTTATTTATTGTATTTATACCCCGCCTATCTAGTCATTTCGACCACTCTAGGCGGCTTAATATAAATACTTAATATAACTATAATTGCATCTAAAAATTTAAAAAGTGTGCTGCTTATATACGGTCCCATGGTGCTTAAAGAACTCTGGGTGGTTTACAATTTAATTATACAGGGTACACATTGCCCCCCCCCTAGCATTTTACTGACATCAGAAGAATGGAAAGCTGAATGAACCTTGATCTTGGATTTAAACCCTGTGTCCTGAGCACAGTTTTGGCTACAGTGCAGCCGTTTAACCAATGCACCATGTGGTGTCCCCCAGAATACACCTTGTGACCCTCCTTGCAACCCCAACCGCCAAGCTGGGGTGGTTTACAATTTAATTATTGTTCTCATGTGGGTTATATCAGCTGTTCTCAGTGGGGACACTGGCGCATTTGAAAGGGGCCACAGCCTGAAATCTCTGAGAACGGGAGCCCCAGGGGTTTGGAGGGGGCCTGATAATTGAATCAATGAAATACCCAAGCAGCATGGTCCTGGACCTTTGCACAGGTTCCCTGCTTTTTTCATGGATTTTTAGAATAGAACAGAGGCCACTCTGTCTGCTGCCTCCCCAGCAATTGCTGACAATACGCACTCTGCTTGTTTTTCATTGGAAGCCAGCCATGATTATAACCTAACCTGCTAAGGTAGTTCTGTCAGCTGCCTCCTCAGCAATTGGTAATGCAGACACCGTGCCTGTTTTTATTGGAAGCAGCTGCCAACTGCTTCTCTCTATATTGTAATGTGTGTATGTGTGCGCGCAGCTTAAGTAATTGATTGTTCTGGAGAAGAAAAAACAGTGCAGAAAAGCAAGGTTGTTTTTTTTACTTGTGTCTTTGTGCTTTGTTTTTTCAACTTGTTGGATCTAGTGAGGCTGTGTGTCCCCTGCCTCCACATCCCTGCCAGGTCGGTGTTGCTCAGGTCGGTGTTGCTACAAACACACTTGAATGTGCTGCAATAGGATGGAATGTTCCTTCTTTTCAACATACACAGGCCAGTGTTGCTGCAAAAATGGCCTGTGCTGCTCACAAAATGCCATATAGACTTCTGTATAAGTCAACACAGGTTTTTAGGATCAATTTTAAGACCTAAATTTTGTGACTTATACACAAGTATACAGTACTTGTTCATTATTTTCTTTTTGCTACTATTATTTTCCTATTTTAAAATTTTAATTAATTTCAGAAATAATTCTACCCATGAGTTCCTTGGTGAAAAAAATAGCAGCGGTATTATTTGGAATACTTACCATATAGTTTCATTGTATCTACGGAAAACCCATCCTTGCCTATGTGTTTGAATTGCATGACTGCATTTTCAAATGAAAGCATGAAACCAAGCAAACTGAAAAAAAATATTTGGATACCTTGCATCCAGAGAAGAAAGATAAGCCTCCAAAAACCTTTGAGAGAATTCCAAGAGAAGGCGAACACTGACACAAATTCTTAAACATCACAGAAATTAGACAAGGTTGTTGTTGCATTACACAAAATTAATAAACTGATTGCTAAAACTGAAAATGCTTACATTTGCTTACATTTGGTGAGTTGCTTCAGGGTCCATAATAATATCTGGTATGAATTTGAGTGCCAAAGAAACAAATCAGGCAACTCCTTTGATTAACTCCACTGTTGCCAGAAGAATCGATGTGATGGCACTTAACATTGAAGAGGGGTTGGTCAGTTCAGTCTAATCCAAGAAATTCTCTTTACAATTAAATGAAACTACTTTACAAGATAATGACGCTCTCCTCATGGCTTATGTAAGATTCTGGAATAGTAGCAAACTGATGGAAGAGATGCTGTTTGCCAGGAGGATTAAAATGGATACTAATAGATTGTCTAAAATTTCTGAAGTGAGAACAATATTCCAATTTAGAATATAATTACTTGTGCAACTGATGGTGCTGCTTCTGTGGTTGGTTGATACCAAGATTCCCTCTAAGCTGCATGCCTGTGTGCAACTCCACCTCCCTTTGCACAGTTTTCCTCCTCCACGCAACGATCGTTTTCAGCCCCTTTGGTTCTGGTCACAATGGAACCCCACACATGGGGGGTGGTGACGTTGTGTGTGTGAGAGACGGAGCAACGGCCAGTGGGGCTAAAAACTAGAGTGCCCTCTAATTGTTGATACAGAGGATTCATCACCCATCTAGAAAGTTATACCTTCTGTCTTTAGTATTAGTTGCATTATTCACAGGGAACACCTAGAATCTAAGAACTGGGGAGGATGCCTCAATATTTCACTTTCAGTTGTCCTAAGGCTGTGAATTTCATC